AATTTGATATTCAAATTCTTTAAAAAAAAAAAATTCTACATTAGTCATTTTTTTTATTTTTTCACTACAAAGTATGACTTTTAATAAACCTCTTATTAAAATTTAAAACATTCCAGTTTGGTCAAAAAATTTTATCCACAGAATAACTACCAAATAAAAATGACATAAAACCTTGTAAAAATTAAATGTCTATAAATAACCTTAAAATAGAATAAAGGTTTTGAAAATTGTATAACGTCTAGAAAAAGTAAATATGATTTTACTATTAAAAAATTTAAGTTTTAACGAATATTTTTAATACGTCCTATTAAAATGGCGACAGATAATGGCCACTGTTACAGATAATTTAATCATTAACTATAAGGCATTGCTTACGAACAAAAAATTCTGAGTAGAGTTTAGTTGATATAATGTTTTGTCAACATTATAAGTTATTTTATAATAAAATAATTAAGTAGGCTTAATATATTTTCTTTAATAAAAATAGTTTGATGTTCTACCAATTTTCCAAGTTTTCCTACGTTTTCCTATGTTTTATCCCGGTTTATAACATTTGCGGCGAAAAATCTTGGAAAATCGAAAAATGATTTTTCTAAAGTACCTTCCCAGTTAAATTTCTTTCAGAAAAATTGCTATCATTAAATTAAGTAAAAGTACTGGTAGAAAAGTTGTTCATAGAAAAAAAGAAGGTCTTAATACATTTTAACCCAGTAGCTACATTTCTTTTTATTTTCCCGTTTATCCTCCGTTTTTTTTTTCTTTAAGTTTTTGAAATTTGATGAGAAAATCGAAAAAGGCCTCTCTAAAGTACCTCTAGTGAAATTTCCTTTTAGAAAAAATTACTATCATTAAAACTGGAGCAAAACTGCTAGTAGAAAAGTTATGCATAGGAAAAAAAATCGTTATAATTTTAGTAATATATTTCGTACATATTCCCGTTTTAGATTCTAAGTGTAGCGAAGAATGTTTTGGTTTCAATAAAACTTTTTTTTTTTCATACTGTGTACAAAAATTCGACCATAAATCTTGCTCAGATATATACAAGCGGCACCATTTTGAAAGGGAATATTGTCCAGATGGTACTTTTGGGAGGTTATTTTATGATTTTTGAAGCGGTTTATTTAATATCTGGGAAAAACCCGGATAAAACGTAGGAAAAACGGGAAAATTTACGAAAATAATGCTTTTATTATTTTTACATTTTGTTATTTGTTATAATTCAGTTAAAAATATTAGAAACTTGAAATTTAGACAAAAAACTTGTATTTGCATTTTCTAGACGTGGTAAAATTTTGATAGTTTTGTACGTAACATTCGGTAGGTGTTCTGAGGTAAAATTGTTAGACTTGAACAAAAATGCTTCAAAATTTAACAAGAGGTTTATTAAGATTCTAACTTTGTGTTAAAAAAAAAGTTTGAGTAAAGTTTAATTTAGTATTTTATTAATATAAGGGAATTTTAATATCAAATTTGGACGAACAAATTATGTGACACAAATCTAATTTTTTTATTTTTTTATTTTTGCGTTCATATGTATATTGCCTATTTAAGAACGATGGTGAAGTCAGAATTAAGCGGACTGACTAAGTTTCGAAATTATAACTTTTTGAAGTTTAGATATTATGCGGATATTATATATTATGTTAAATAACTCTTTTGAAAATCCAAAAATGACTTTCGTAAAGTACCTCCCATCTTTGTAAAACTATAAGCTCCTTCGCTCCACTCAGAATTTGAAATAATAAATTTTATATAATTTTTAGTTTTCCATAGTTTTTTTCCAGTTTTTACCCAATTATTATAAAAACCGATTGGCAAATCAAAAAATCAAAATTAAAAATAATAACCTTCTTAAAGTACAACCCAGATAAATTTCCTTTAAGAAAAGGAACTAAACTTGATGCACTGGAGCAAGATTTCTGGTAGAATAGTTGTTAACAGATAAAAAAAAAAAAAATTAAGTCACCATTGTAAACCATAATATAAATTCCTCATTTCGTACAGAATCTGAAATTGCTATATAACGCTCAACTTTAATTGACCTTTGAGTACCTATAACTTCTAATAAAACTTTTATTAAATTTTCTTAGCAAAAATAACATGACATTAAATAAACAACTATATGTATTAATCTCAAATTGTTCAATACGTAAATACGGAAATACTGATTATTATTTCGTCTATAATACTATTAACAGTATTTCATAAAGAATAATTTTAAAATATCTGGATAAAGATAAGAGATAATTCCTAGAATAATTTTTATGATGAAAATAAAAATACAATATGACAATTTATTTAGCTATCTAGATAAAAATAAGTAATCAGGAATTTTTGTCTTGATAGAAAAAAAAATGATTATTTTCTATTAGCTATCATACAACTAAGTGCTAAAATGATCAAAATTGTACCAAAATTGATAGATTTTTGACATTTCATAAAATTTGTGTAGATTAAAAATTAATTTATTCAACCATATTAACTTTTAATAAAATATTTTACATACAATAAAAGTATTATTAATTACGATTTATAGAGATTTATTGATTCAAATTATTATTATTATTATTATTATTATTATTATTATTAATTATCTATTCTATATACTGAATCTTATAATTTAATATACTGAATCTTATAATTTATTATTTCTCATTATCTATTCTATATACTGAATCTTATAATTTATTATTTCTCATTTATCTATTAAAATCTCATTTATCTATTAAAAAAAAAAAAAAGACGGAAAATAAAGGTATCTAGGTAGATACCTAGATATAATACAGCCTATGAGTTTTCAACTATAAAATATATTATACTGACACCCTGTTTGAAAATCAACCGTTTTCGCAGACTAAAGTAATTGTACGATATAATATAGGTATTGGTAAAGCAGACGATCACATTGAGTGTGGAGGAAGAAAAACAAATTGGTCGTTCATAAAATATAGGTAGGTACGCGGAAACAATCGATTTTTTGAGGGGGAGACAAATAAGGCACTCATACTAATATTGTATTGCGAAAACCGTCTTTTCTAGAAAAAACGGGAGAAACGGGATAATAATATTTATATACATATACAGGATGCCCTATGGATATTTGACAATCGCTATCACTTTTGTTGGTTTCACTAATTTAAAAACAAATTTCCGTGTATTAATAACAAAAACCTTGCCCCATGATTTTTCTATTTTTTATTTTTTTTCTAGTTTAGAAATTATTTTATGAAATCCGAGATAGCGATTTTATAAATATACTCATAAGAAATTTTGGTTTATCCGGTTTTATACATTTTATACATTAATAATGATGATGAATCGTGAAGTTTCTACATTTTTTAGAGTTTACACATTTTTCATTGAACAATTGATGAATCGATTGGTATTATTTAGTAGTGAGAATTAAAACAATTTATATAATTGTAAACATCTAAAAAGTTATATAAATCGATTCACTAAATCTTCTACGAAAATTAATTTTGTTAATGATTTTTTTTAATTTAAATAACTATAGAAATACACAACAATTCATTATTAGCAGGGCTCGTAAGTTCATGCACTTGCACGATTGATTTACTACACAGGAAATCATCCTAAATAAGATACAAATCCGTCTCATAACAATACTAATAATTGAAATACAAATTTTAGTGGTGAATGTTTAAGTTTGTTTCGGGTGGACTTTTTGGAGTCATTAGCGTATATCGTACAAAATGAGGAAATTATTTTTATTTTTTATTTGGATATAACCTAACGGAATTCCTAAACATGTATTCAAAATTCAAAATTTTAGTATTTGTTTTGGTTAACTTATATTATTGTATGACTGTGTGGGTTTTATGAGTTTTACAGCATTACAACACAGTCAATGTTATCTTACAACTACGATATCGCAATAAATATTTATTTTCATTGGAACTTGTTTACGCGTGCAATGACTCTTAACCTCCCGCAATCTTAATCGTAATATCGTTATACCTATTTCTATTTTCTATTTCTTAATATAGTTTTTATGCAGTTAGTCGTGTCTCTTTGTGTTCACCGTGTCGAGTGTTCGATTTCGTGTTTTCATATTATTTATCTTTGAACAATGCCGAAAGTAAAACAAAAGTGTCCGGTCGTTTACGTCATTTATTCATTTCTTAATAAATTAAATTTTATTAAGATAAAAATGATTTTATTTTGCTCACATAATATTTCAAATGTAAATTTTTAGAATTTTAATGCAATGTACCTATGTACATGCTTATTTATGAGATTTTTATTGCATTAACTTATGCGCCTTGATTATTAGTCAACATTTGTAATATCAAAATAGATTAATAAAATTACTGTCTTTGATTTTGTAAAAAAATAATAAAATAGAGGAATCATAAAGTGCAAGACTTTAGTTGTTATTACAAGAAAAAAACTGTAAAAATATTTAACACAAAAAAAGTTGTTGCATTAATCAAATATCTGTGAGATACCCTGTATATAACAAAAAAAAAGAAAATGAAAAAATACGCGGACGCTCATGTCTTTTTATTTCAAACTCTGTTTATTTAAAGTTGATGAGTGTATATATGCGTGTGTGTGTTTGTTTAATATCATCGTTGGCCACCTAATAATATAATATGTACAGAAAAAAAAAAACCTAACCAATTTGTCGTTACATCATATGCATTTCCTCTCACACGCACACTCGCCACCGCCGCGAAATAATCTTCTGACCCGACTCAACGGACTGTAATAACAATAACAAACATCGCAGAACCTTCTCTCATAGATAAACAATTCCTAAAATGTGGATTTTCTTTTTCTTTTTAACAATAAATGGCGTATTGGTGACTTATATTTTGGAAAAAAAATATAAACGTAAATTAGGTGTTGGTAGTTTTTTGTTTTTTAACCAGCAGGTGAACCCAAATTTTAATCCGCACATAAAATGACGGTACAACTACACACCCTCTATTAACCTTAGGCTATACAAGAGGCGCAGAGGTTCGAGTAAGCCTCGGATGCGTGACAACGCATCAGAGCGCGATCCCACCAACCGCTACCCAATTCACTTACCGCCTGCTTACGGGTTTAGCCACCGTCGGGTGGGTAGCCCCTGTCTATTTAACCACTACCCAACGAAACTCATCAGCCCGTCCGAATCCAAACGCAAGGCACCAATTACGGCACGAATCCGTGGCCGACAATGGGTCGACGCCGGGGCTCCGAAAACCACTCAGACATATCTCGATACCCAGGCACCGACGAAGTGGATGATCATTCCGCACCGGAGGCGGTCAGGTGTCTACCGACACGCGCGTGATAACACAATCTTCGTTGCCAGAGATAAATGGGCCGCCCGAGAACATCCCACGCTGCGACCAAACGGTAGGAATGCGAAAAGACCCCATCCCCCCTCAAACGACCATGTGGAGAGACGAACCTGTGGTCTTGATCTCTCTCCGGATATAACCTCGGTGGAAAAGTTCCGACACTCGCCCACCCAACGAGAATTTGTACATGTTCGCTTCGCGCCAGGATAGATCCACGGCATTACTAATATCTAGCGCCACAAAAAAGCTTGTACCATATAAAAAGCCCGAGGGGAAAGTAGTCCCCCCGGACTCTCTAGGAAACCACCAAGAACCGACCAAGAAATTAATACCAGCCGGTACCCTTGACCGTGCTTTCGCTAGATTTTTATTTAACGAGCAGTGCAGTATAATAAATACACATAAGTACAGATTAATTATAATTATTAAACGATCGTAAAATTCAACGAAATTGTTGCCAGACCGGAAAAAAATTTGAATATTTCTTATTAGAACTTTCTTAACGAATGTTTTTTATACGTGACATAAATACATAATACCACCGCGAAATCACATCGTCAAAATAATTTTTACTTTATTTAAATATATCATTATATAATGTTATGTATTATACGCTTAAGTTTTGTATATGGTTTCCGCCGAACCTAGTTCGTTAAATTTATTACTTTTTACAATACAGGGTACCCGTAATAGAATATCCGGGTTTCGAAGATCTATACGTTTTTTTTTTTTTCAAAACGAAATAAAACACAATAATCACACCTACAAACAAATAAATGACCTGTAAATATTATATAGTCTTTATTTTAGTTTCCTTAGCAAATCCACATAAGGCCGAGATCACCCCACTTCACCCAGTTTTATGAAGGGTGAGATGTAAAAACCGCCAATACTAACCGATATCGATCAACAGAAGCGACCGCGGATATGGTAACATCAGATATAACTACGAGGGCGTGTAACGAGTTTGATAGCGTTCTCCATCTGATTCTCACATGGTTAATTTGAGAACTGCTACCTAATTAAAGTATACTGATCAGTGATCATATTCCCAACACTTATCAGATATAATCTACACCATAACACCGTCAAAATTGACGGAGTCGTTTTTTTCACAAATGTAGATAAAATTGGGTACATTACACCGTCATAATTATGGAATTTGAACAATTAATAAATTAGGAGAAAGTAATTAAAATAAGTATACGAGTGTAGTCAGATAGGGAAAACTGCAAGTGTCGACTCGATATCATTTGCGTCACTAAGGAAACTGAAAACAACTAGATATAGTAACCATTTTAGATAGTAATGGACTTTAATATCCTCTTTTTCGTTATCTTTTTCTTCTAGACCAGAAGAATATATTGGGGGCACCCAGTATAACGTGAACTTAATAGTTTTAGGTAATTATTGTGCAGGTCATTTTTGTAAGAAAATCTTTAGTATCCAAATGAACACGCAGTATAAATTGCATTGGACACTTAGAATCAGATTGTGTTTACTAAATTTTGTCCACTAGAAAATAAATGATAAATTATTTAACTATAGTAGATTTTGTAACGAAGCGTTATATTTTATATAACAAATACTTTCTTTCCTATAGGGGGAAGGGTAACTGAGTGAAATCTGAAAATTAAGAAGAAGGTTTGGTCTATCTGCTCAAGGAAAATTTTAGGGGGGTGGGCATGTAGTAGATATTCACTGAAAAAATGCCGCATTTATGTTCATATTATCAACGATACAGTGTCATTCTGATAGTAATTCGAAAACAAACATTTCGATGACATACATAAATGAAACGTGAATTATTGTTCCACCTGAGTAGTATTACTCATAGGCACGTATATAATATTATATGACTACGAGTAATACATTATACGAATTATACGTAAAATAGAAAAAAAAAATTATATTTTACGGTTTATGTGTTTACATTTCGAAATACTTACTGCAATACTTAATTGAATTGTTTTTTTTTTTTTTATACTATATAGTTCCGCGAAAATACGCATACAATATTAATATGATATAAAATGTATACGAGCGTTATATTATCGCGCCCTCGTGTTTTTTCACGATCCAATTCTTCGGCAGCGTAGAATTTTATTTTTATCTAAGAAGACGTAATAATATCATAGCAGTGGTCGGCAAACTTTTCACACTCTAGGGCCACATAAAAAAATGTAAAAAGGTTTCTCGGACCGGGCGGAACAAAGATTAATATTTGATAGTATTATTTGAAAATGTATTATGTTTAACTAACGTCATATAAAATTGTAGAAATTAAAACTGTTTGGTAAAATTAAAAATATTATATATAAAATGCGTTTTTTTTTTTTTTTATTACAGAACATTGTGCACAATTTGTTCAATGTCCACATCAATATTATTACTTGTGTGCACTCTAAACTCATGAAGGAGATAGTCATCCTTCAAGCATAATCAGTACGGATTTTTAATTTTGAATGTTCGTAAACTTGGCCTGTTCACACATTTACCTATTTAAATCCAAACATAGTGTAGTATTTTTCAACTATATTTCTAACTTTTGAAAATGATGGTGAACGTTCAGCAAACATTAAATAAGTTTTTGAGATTATCCTATTGTTGTAAATTTTCATTTAAAGCTGTACATATAAATGTTAGACGATCGTACGAATAAACTGTGTGAAATAGATGTGCGGACCAGATGCTGTCATTGTGGTGCTAATAGTTGCCGATTGCTGATCACTACAGGATAGGCACTAATAAAACGTAAACTTATAAGTGAACATTTGATAGTATTAACAAGGAAATTATTATATTACAAGTCACATGGTATATTAACAGTATATTAATAATTTGTTGAATTGGTAGTAAAAAAAATAAAACGCTTTCCTACCTATTTGGATCTTGCCCAGAGATTATGTTTTTATAGTATTTTGTTTGCTTAACGCACGGATATAAAAAAAAAACACAAAAACAATTAAATTATATGCATCACGGATGGTAAAACTTTTGCTTATCAGTATTATTACTTGTTTAGTAATATTATGTGAAATTATTTTGTATTGATTGATTCCATAAAACACCAATGGCCTTAGGTGTAAAAGTAAATAATAAGACTAATTAATAATATTAACAACCTTATCCCGGATAACTCGAATCTAGTAAGATATAGTTTATGTAACTATTTTTGCCAATTTGTATTGTATGAAAATTCATCTTTTTAAAAATATTATATACCAAGAAGGCAAATCTATTAATGAACCCATTTGATTTTATTTTCCATACAACAATTTTCCCATTCACCTATATAATAATAATTAATTGTTCAGTCTTTTATGTTAAAGCGTTTTAATGTTTTTAGTGTATGGCATGCAGTGTAATAATGTTTTCGTATTATACGGAAATCGCAATTAAACTTGAGCAAAACGAGCGATTTAATTGGTCGGATAAATACACAAGAATAATACGGTAATTCGATTCGATTTCCACGTTCTGTTTTATCGTCCTTGCTGCTAGTTAACACATACCTAAAAGTAACATAATTTAATAAAGTCGTAAAGCGAATTGTTATTGTTGTTTCAGGCTGCAGGCCAATGGATTTTCTGTATAGCCGAAACACGATTATATTTTTATATACACATTTTACTTTTCTATCAATAACCATCTAAAATTATATAAGAAAAATCTGCTGTACCGTAATTCGACATGCGGAAGGACTTTTATTTATTTTGTTTTTTTCGGGCACGCGCGTGTGTGTGTGTGTGTCGTTTACACAGTATGCAATAATAAAGCATTCATAGGACTAGTAAGATTGGGGAGATTTCATATTTCTCAAAAAATAAAAAAAAAGTATAATATATAATATAAACTATATTATAAACATCTTGAAAACTAATCGATTGAAAACGTCGTTGTCGTATCAAATACAAGAAATATGTAAAGCTGGGTGAAAAAAAAAACTCAATTTTTTTTTTAAAAACTAGTTTAAGTTATCTTAAAAAAAGAATAACTACACCGAATTAAAGTTAATTTTAAAATTTTAATAAATTTTAGTAACTAAATTAACCCCATTCTGCGTGATTTTTTTTAAATATGTGTATAGATTTGTAATCAAGATTACATAGGAATTACATGGAAAAATACTTAAAAAATTGTTCGACTTTTTTTAGCCCCAAAAAAGCTCAAAACATGTGTGCCATAAATGGCGCAACGCACACCAAAACTATATATTTATACAGAACTTCATGCATTAAATTACTCAACAGTATTATTATTATTACATGCCATATTATATGAGAACTAAGGAAGTTATAAAACAAAATTAAAATAATTACACCATATTATATTTATTTAATTATTTATTAATTTGTGTATCACATTTATCTATTTTCATCAATTTTAAAAAATTATAGTACACAATTTTACCGCTAGATAAAATTACCTTATATCAAAATTATTTAGTTTTTCGAAACAAATTTAGCCATGTAAGAAGTATTGGAATCTAATAACTTGTCAATGAAATAATCGATGAAAAATGTGTGCCATTTTCGGTACAATAGAAAGGTTAAGTTAAAAATTACTCTTTTTAAACACTTGTACTCTAGTATTTAGTAGTTTAAAACTAAACACGACTCATGTGGGTATTGTAGCATCGGCCGCATGCTCGTTTTGTAATGACATAAGATAAGATATAATGATATTCACGAAAAAATACGTAATATTCGTCGAAAAATAATTGCAATAAACAGATACACAGAAAATTCGTAAATAAATTAAATTTTAACAAAACAACTGTGTTCACATTGCTAATTAAAATAAATGTATTTTCTAACATTGTTAGACATTTGTTTTTCTTTTACAAGAAAAGTTAAAAGTTATAAAAAAAAAGCATTACATTTAACTTTGAACTGTTTTACTAATTACTGCCCCCAGCTTTTAAATTACAAAATATCTCATCGACCCTCCCCCCGCCCTCCCTATTCGTCGTGAAAATTGATCACGTCAACAATCATAAACATATTCCCATGCGTACGAGTTGAGAAAAATGACACATGTATCGTTTAGAAAAGAATTTAAACCGCATTGTTAATTTATTTAGTTTAAGGAACGTCGAAACGCAATGTTTGAGTGTTGGTTACTATACGCTCGCTCTACTATACCCGGCATGTAAAATCGAATTGAAATAATTTACGACCCTTTTTTTTTTTCTTCTCTCCGCCGGT